AATATTGCAATTCAACCCGGGCTCTCTTCCGTATCACGTCCGTTTGGCGAATGCCGACCTCAGCCAAACTACGGAGAATAATCTAAAATTCTATCGCCATCACCCCGGACAGATTTCGACCGCAGTCCTTCCCGGAGCTTCAATCTTAAACACGTACACAGAGACAGCGGTAGCAGCAGTGGTAAGTTGAGCGTAAACAAATAACATAGACATGTGTGGTTAAAAACATTTCCAAGCCACTGAACGTGGCATAATTGAAATTCCTCTCCACAGAGTTTCAGCCCAAGGAAACCAAGCTAAGCCGGTCGGTGGTGTATAAAGTCTTTCAATCCGTCTGTTGGATTCGTGCTAAGAGAAGAGGAGACAATACGGGGGCGAAGCGAACCACTTTTCTGTCAAACGCGAACCAGCTCGTGATTGGCCGATTTGAAGAGATAGAGAAAAGAGTAAGAAACCAGTTTCTCCTCTTCGTCTTAGGATTTGTGGAAAATTGTAATTTTCTTTCAGCCTCCAGCAAGTGACACGTCAAATAGGTACCCGACATGTGCACATAGATACAGTAATCCCTCTATTTTTGCAGTGGGTGATACCGTCCACCCACCGCTGTTTCCCGGCTGTGCTTCAACCAATTACGCTGAATTTTGTATGTGATTAGTGTAAACCATATTTAACCTAGTTAGCTACAGAAAATCTGCTGAATTGGTTGAAGGCAGCCGAGAAATGGCGGTACCACCACCCATCGCATAAATGGAAGGATTACTGTATATTCTCCTACGGGGCTCAGAATAATGTCGTGGGTTGCTTGAAGGTGGAGTAGAATTGGAAAATTATGCATGATGAGAGCTGGTTTACATCGACTGTTTTTGTCAGAGTAAACATTTGGATATGAATGTTAAATTACTAGCTTGGCAGAGCATCTTCTTCTTCTTCACATTCTAAATTATTGATTATCGTATATTAGCTTATTGCGTGCTCTCAACTTAGCGTCCTAGATGCAACTCCACAGTTATTAATTGAGAGCTTTCGATGCCTGCATCATTTTTGCATTAGTATAATTGTGTGGCAAGAACAATCATACTCTACGCCCAGGGAAGTCGAGAAATTTTCCAACCCGAAGAATTCCTAGACCGGACCGGGAATCGAACCCAGCTTTGTAGCTGTGCCTTTATCGACTGTACTAAGGGAGGCGAGAGCATGGAAGAGCATGATGTGATCAGTCTAGACGGTTCTGATGATGTCATAGTTTTAGCCAGAAGCGCCAACTTCATGAAGCCAATACGGACTACATTGGAACAAACTGAAATTGGGGCTGTTTTGATAATTAAATGGAGAGATTTATCCCTAAAAAATTATAATAAAGCTTAAACAAAAATTCAATCGCACACGGCTTACACTACATTCAGACTATACTGCCTTTAATCCCATATCAGTCACATATGAAAAAAGAAGGCATTTAGAAAATGGCAGTTGAAGCTAAGGAGTGCAAGTTTCATGTAAATATTAAAAAAATCATAGTAAATTAATCGATAATTTTGTCAAGTTAAAATCAGTTCCAATGAAGCTTGCATGGTTTGTTATATCAGCAAAAAATATGCCGATACAAAAAGCAGAACTGAAACTTGACCTCTGGACGATTGAATTTCAGGATTGGACTGATATGCGATTACTTACTGACTTGATGTTGTATTCACATTTTTCACGACTAAAGCCCATAGTTTTATCACGTAATATTATCTTAATTATTATCTTAAAATGGACGAAAATTCATATGGGACTGGTATGCGATTATAGGCAGTATAGCTAATATTACGTATTCTATCTGGATATCAAAAGCCAAACATATAACTTCCAGTAAAAATTTGACGTATAAAGCTTATTCTAAACGCTTGCCCGTCGCTACACTCCTCTGACTAATAACATGGGGAGGACATAATAATAGTTTTCCCGGTTGGATAGTTTTTGATAGTTACATTTGATTTTTTTAATTAACCGTATTTTCGAAACATTGCTTCTTAAAAACTAAACATAACATTTTTCTGAAGATTTAGGGTTTTCATGATAAGAAAAAATAGTATATCACAAGTTATTTTTCTACAATATACAAAATCAAGATGTCGTGACAACAGAAAATTATCGAGATTTCGAGAATAGAAAATTTATCCAGACTCTAAACTTTGAAATGTTATCAAAATTCTTCAACTTGATTTTTTACTTGAACCATTTGCAATATTTTTAGAGGATGTTGATTTGTCACGTTACAACGTCAATACGTTACAAGACAATCCCAAGTAACAATTTTGGTTTTATGAGGGTTCTGTAGGCCATGATTTAGACTTGTAGAATGCTATAAAACCGCGATAAAACCTGCAATGTTACTTGGGAATACGTTGCATTCGTGTAATCTAAATTTCACAAGTATCGACGGCGGTTCCAAAACTGCAGATGAAATGAAAGATGAAGACAAAAGCAAAGTTCCAGTTGGGACTAAATAAATGTGAAGAATCAAAAGAACTTATCAAAATTTTGATTTTCAGAATCGTTTGTCATTTGACATGCGATATTTTGTTGATACTTTTGGTCGAGCCGAAGGGCTAAGAAAACAAAAATACACAAGAAGATCATTCTACTCTAAAACGTGAAGTTGGATAGTCCGTTTTATTCGAGGGGGGCGACACATCTAAATCTCAATTCTAGATGCTCAAAAAATCTCACACTAGCGAATAAATCTTCGAAAAATCTTCTTTCATTTCTCGCATCTACTTGCATCGAGCATCATCTTATTGCAGGAAATCTTCAAAATCGTGATAAATCTTCTTTCTATCTACTCAGCATACGCGCAGCTAGCCACATCAAAACACAATATTTCCTGCATCGTAGATAGAGTTGTCCCCCTCGGTTTTATTACACCCGAGAAACCTCTCTTTCCCCACTATAAGTAAGCTGTGGTGCTAAATAGTCAGAACACAGTATATAAAACTTCCCTGGTGACAGAATTCTGAACTGTGCTCCATGCAAAAGATCTTATTAATCTGATCAACTTTGCCAAAAACAGCATTAATCTATCTAGTTCAGCTTTCAAGTTGAAGCAAGTAAATATAAGTCGAATCGTACACTCGCACGTATGGTGTGAGAATTCAGAACTGAGCTATTCACTTATACAATAGGTTGCGTTGACAGCAACCTTATATCATAGAGGTAACTCTAAGACCAGAAGGTGTTGAAGAAACGTGCTCAACTTTTTGGCTAAGGTCTATGGCACACTCTTCTATCCCAAGCTAATCGATGCACCCCTCGAAACATAGGAAAATCCACGAATCCACGAGCAAGCAATAATATGGCAAATTGCACACTAGCGTCATCCCTCCCCTTAGCTAGTTTTTGTACCTTGTTGCTGGTGGGCGGGCTTAATTTTATGCTTTATAATGAAGTGTTTGAGACGGTAGGTTTATGGCCGGCGTTGCTGGGTCATGCCACGATAGAATGGCGCTATCTTCAGGCGATGGGGATTACTAAGCTTCCCCTCTTAAATGGACCACTGCATGAGAGAACCAAAGATCTAGTCTAGTAGTGGTATTATCATACTTGTTACTCCTTTGTTTGAAAAGCGCACTGGTACGCTTACGTATAGGCTCTGACGTTGGGTGCAATACTGGCGGGTGTTTCCGCAAATCACTCTTATTTTATTTATTTTTACGCAGATAAATTTATTTGCGTTTGCAAGGGAATTATACTATTGACATATTTCTGAAAGTGCCCAACGGTGCTCCTTTTATTTGTGTGACAAGCTTTCATTGTTGTTTACTCAGGAAACAATGTTAAACACCATTTTTGTACATGGTATTGTAACTAATATTATATGAGGGGTGTTCCGTGCGAAACAAGCTATAGTAGCTTCCAAAACACAACGCAAACGATCGTCATTCAAACCACCCATCGTGGCAACAACGCACTCCAGGTAGAATTTTAATGACACCGAACAAGAAGGGAGAAGCACTATATACTTCTCTTCAACATGCTGCTGCCTGCTGCTCGCCGTAGCGCACGGCAGGCAAGTATATAGGACCAAAAGTAGCAAAATACGATAGGACGACTGCTATAAAAGCGACACAGCCAGCCAGCGTTTTTTTTGAGTATTATTCCGACCACCATCCAAGTTACATCCAGTGAAGTAAGAAAGCAATTTGTAGAGAAATAGTGAACTAGTTAGAATAAAAGTAGTGTTAAGGTGATAATTTGATTAGTGTGTTGAATCTTTCAATCCGAACGAAATACAGTCCACTTCCAACCCACCGGAGTTGGCCACGGTAAACGCGCCAACATAGTGGTCCTTCGAGCCGGATCCAGCGCCGCCCGTAGGAAAGGATTCGACACCATCGCCACTCGACCGAGTGTATTCCGACACGCTTCCGTGGTGTGCCAACCACGACGTGTACCGCCAGGAGAGGAATCTATTATTGATCACCGCCGCTTCCGAATCCGATTCGCAAGTTTCAACCCGCCCGCCGAAGGATTTTTCTACAGAACCGAAACCATACGTACTCGTGCTGTGTGTAACGTACGACGTGACAACGAGTTCATTATGCCAGTGGATCGAACCCCGAAAGGTAAGCCTGCTGCTAAGGAAACAGCTGAGGGCACAGGCAAGGAGAAGCAGCACGACGAGTCAGCAATATTCGAAGGATTTGCAGAATGGGAAATCAGTGCTGATTCCGAAACCGTGAAGGAAATAACGTCGCTTTCCCGCCAGCGAGACCAGGTCACCATGAAAGTAGTGCGTGTGCAAAGGGCGCTTGTTGCCGCTCGAAACTTGGTGAGCCTCTCACAACTCAGGACGTACATGAAGAATATCGATGTGGCCTACAACGAATACAGCGCAGTGCATAGCAAACTGGTTGCTATCATTCCCCAAGAAAGTTTTCAACAGCAGGAGGAAGTTTATGTCGCATTATGTCGGTCTTCAACGATACAACTTCGTCCGCACGACCATCGATGAGCTAATCATGGCACACGAAAATGCAATGGTTCGTGCTCAAGCCCCGCAACAACAAATCATCGTCCAACAGCAACCGTTGAAGGCTCCAATTCCCACCTTCGATGGTGATTATGCCAACTGGCCGAAGTTCAAGGCCATATTCCAAGACTTGATGGCCAACTCAGGAGACTCGAACGCGATAAAGCTGTATCATCTGGACAAGGCTCTGGTTGGTGCAGCAACAGGTGCTCTGGATGCCAAAGTAATCAGCGAAGGTAATTACCAGCAAGGGTGGACCATTCTCACCGATCGCTATGAAAACAAAAGGATCATAGTCGAGACGCACGTTCGTGGTCTGTTCAACTTGCAAGGAATGTCATCCGGATCCCACAAGGAGGTGCGACGTCTGCTAGATGAGTGCACCCGCCACGTCGAGAGCCTGAAGTATCTGGAACAGGAATTCCTCGGTATTTCCGATTTGTTTCTGGTTCATATGCTGACGACCGCCATGGACAACACGACCAGGATGGCATGGGAAGGCACACAGAAGAAGGGCGTGCTACCCAAGTATGCGCAAACCATTACGTTCCTGCAATCGAGATGTGAAATGTTGGAGAACTGCGAAACAGCTTTCCACAAGGTTAATGCGCAGGCCGCTTCCAAATCGACCCCGAAGGTACAAGCATTCCAACCGAAGCAAGCAACCCGAAGGTCCATGCCGCCGCAACCACACCAATCAGCAAGGAGGTTTGTGATTTCTGCCAAGGTGCACATCGCAACTACCAATGCAATGTGCTTGGTAACATGTCCTTTGACAAACGGATGGAGAAGGTACGCACAACTGGTGTGTGTTTCAACTATCTGCGCAAGGGGCACACCTCCAAGGAGTGTTCATCACCGAGGTGCTGCCAAAAGTGTCAGAAACGGCATCATACACAACTCCACAACGACGAGGTAAACCGAGAACCGAAAGCCAACGTGTCCGTTCCGAAAGAAGAGTCCCGCACAGTTCAACCGAACAGCACGGTAGCAAACCCGCCATCCGGAAGAGATATACCGAGCACATCCTGCTCGTGTAACTACGCCGATTCCACGAAAACTGTGTTCCTGCTGACAGCGGTTGTCAACGTGCTGGACGAAAGCAATCAACTGCATTCTTGCCGAGTACTGCTAGATAGCGGCTCTCAGGTAAATTTCGTAACAAACAATTTTGCAAATCTTTTAAGAATTCAGAAGCATCGTGTCAACGTTCCAATCTGTGGCATCAACGACGTCAGGACTGTAGCCCACGACAAGGTGATGGTCAACATCCGATCTCGACTCACCGACTTCCAAGCACACGTGGAGTGTTTGGTTACGCCCAATGTGACAGGTGTCATCCCGCCAACAAGAATTGACGTGTCATCTTGGAACATTCCCTTCGGCGTCCAACTAGCCGATCCGGAATTCTACAAACCGGGCAAGATTGATATGCTTCTTGGTGCAGAGTTATTCTTCAAGTTGATGCGACCAGGTCATATCAAACTCGACGACAACTTCCCCGATCTCCGTGAAACCTGCCTTGGATGGGTTTTAGGCGGTGTATTCACTAACACGATCAACGCCAATCAACCACAACATTCGCTCATCGTATCGTTGGATGACATCGAGGAATCCATTCAACGATTTTGGAGGCTCGAAGAGGTGCCAGATTCGAGTCCTCTGACGAAGGAAGAACAGGAGTGTGAAGCCCATTTCGTCGCCACCCACCAGCGTGATGAAAATGGACGATACCAAGTGAGGCTACCGTTCAAGGATAACGTGCACGAGCTTAGTGACTGCCGAGCGGTTGCTTTGACGCGATTCCAGATGCTGCAGAGGAGGCTGCAGTGGAACCCCGATTTGAACGAGCAGTATGTTCAGTTCATGCGTGAGTATGAAGAGCTGGGACACTGCCACGAAGTACGAGAAGAAGACGATCCACCGCACCAGCAAAACTACTACCTGCCGCACCATGCGGTACTTCGCCCATCAAGTTCGACCACCAAGTGCAGGGTGGTATTTGATGCCAGCGCCAAACCAACAGTGAACCACCGTTCACTCAATGAGGTTCTACAAGTCGGTGCAGTGGTACAGAAAGAACTCTATGACGTCATACTCAGGTTCTGCAAGTACCCAGTTGCATTCACAGCCGACGTGCCGAAGATGTATCGACAAATCAAGATGCATCCAAGGGACACACACTATCTCCGTGTTTTTTGGTGTGAGCAGCCGTCAGAGCCACTCCGAGTCTTGGAGCTCACGACGGTTACATATGGAACAGCATCGGCTCCGTTCCAAGCTACCAGGTGCTTGCAGCAGCTCGCCGATGATGAATCAACCGATTTTCCGATCGGTGCGCAAATCGCCAAGGAGGATTTTTACGTCAACGATGCACTTTCCGGTACAAATTCACTTCCGGAGGCCCTCGAAGCAGCAAGGCAGCTGGAAGGCTTACTGAAGAGAGGAGGGTTTTCGCTGCACAAGTGGTGTTCCAACTCAAACGAATTTTTGGACCACATTCCAAACGATCGACTGGAACAGCCCGTTCCATTGGAAGAATATGGACCGAATGGAGTCATCAAAGTGCTAGGCTTGCTTTGGGATCCAAAAGCCGATCATTTCCTCATCGCAAGGCCGCCACAATGTGATTTGAATCAACGATCAACGAAGCGTATTATCTACTCCGAGGTGGCCAAGCTTTTTGACCCGTTAGGACTTGTGTCACCAGTGATTGTCGTCGCCAAGCTACTAGTGCAACAGCTGTGGAAGCACAAGATTGGCTGGGATGAGCCCGTCAACGACTCGATACAGGAGCGATGGGTTGAATTTGCAAATACCTTGCCAGCACTCGACAAAATCGCCATACCAAGAAGAGTTACGTTCCACGACGCCGTGTCCTACGAAATCCACGGTTTTGCCGACGCATCATCATTGGCGTATGGTGCATGTGTTTATGTTCGAAGCCTGTTCTCCAACGGTTCCGCCAAGATGAAGTTGCTGAGTAGCAAGTCCAAGGTTGCTCCGCTACATGACCTTTCAACGCCTCGAAAGGAATTGTGTGCCGCATTGCTACTAACTCGAATCATTCAGAGGATTATCCCAGCCATGCAAATGGAATTCCGTGACGTGGTCCTCTGGTCGGACAGTCAAATCGTTCTGGCGTGGATGAAACGATCAGCCAATCGCCTCAAGATTTTTATCCGAAACCGAATTCACGAAATCAATACCTCCACTGCAGGATATCGCTGGTGCTACATCCGATCTGGTGATAATCCAGCAGACATCGTGTCCAGAGGTCAGCTACCAAACGATTTGCGCAGAAACAATCTTTGGTGGACCGGACCAAGTTTCCTCACGAAACTCGAGTACGACGAACAGGAGTTAGTCGATATCCCCGACCAACAGCTTCCCGAAATGACAAGCACCGAAATTGTCACTTCGGCTGTGGTGGAACAGTTTCCACTGTTTTCCCGCTTCAGTGACTTCAGGAAGATCGAACGCATCATGGCATTGGTACTTCGATTCATCGCCAACATCCGCACCAAGAACAGGTCACAACGTATCTTCAACCGGTACGTTACTATTTCCGAACTCCGTCTATCGAATTTCACCATTATGAGGATGGTTCAACAGTCAGAGCTAGCTGACGAAATACGTCGTGTCCAAACCAACAAACCGTGCCGCAAGCTAGGAGGCTTGAATCCAGTGTTCGTCGATGGATTGCTTCGAGTTGGTGGTCGGCTGCAACATTCGAATCTACAAGCCGAGACGAAGAATCCGATTATCCTTCCGAACAGACATCCACTGACGAAGCAGCTAATCCGCACAATGCACATCGAGCATTTGCACCTTGGGCAAAATGGCTTGATTGCTGCTATGCGCCAGAGGTATTGGTTGCTGAGCGCCCGTTCAACCATCCGGCAAGTGACCCGCAATTGTGTAAGATGTTTCCGCACAAATCCAAATATGTCAACGCAGCTGATGGGCAATCTTCCTCAACCGAGGATAAATCCAGCACCTCCGTTTGCAGTGACTGGTGTCGACTACGCCGGCCCATTTTGGATCAAGATGGGAAATTACCGATCCAGGCTCATCAAGGCTTACGTGGCAGTATTTGTTTGCATGGTAACAAAAGCAGTGCATCTCGAGGTCGTGTCTGATCTCACATCCGACGCCTTCTTAGCTGCGCTAGCGCTACAACGGTTCATCAGCCGAAGAGGAATGGTGCAACAGTTGCATTCTGACAATGCCACCAACTTCCGAGGAGCACAACACGAGTTGCACCAGCTATATCAACAGTTCCAGGATCAGCAGTTCACAGGACGTATCCAGTCCTTCTGTCAGCCAGATGGATTGGTCCGAGCCATCGATGTGTCGTCTAACGGAGCTACCTACCGACGACCGATCAACCGGATCGCAGTTTTGCCGATTGAGGACAACGAGCCACCAACCCTGAGTGATGTTGAATCTACGAGTCAACCGGGCGGAGTATGTTCCGTGCGAAACAAGCTATAGTAGCTTCCAAAACACAACGCAAACGATCGTCATTCAAACCACCCATCGTGGCAACAACGCACTCCAGGTAGAATTTTAATGACACCGAACGAGAAGGGAGAAGCACTATATACTTCTCTTCAACATGCTGCTGCTTGCTGCTCGCCGTAGCGCACGGCAGGCAAGTATATAGGACCAAAAGTAGCAAAATACGATAGGACGACTGCTATAAAAGCGACACAGTCTGCCAGCGTTTTTTTGAGTATTATTCCGACCACCATCCAAGTTACATCCAGTGAAGTAAGAAAGCAATCTGTAGAGAAATAGTGAACTAGTTAGAATAAAAGTAGTGTTAAGGTGATAATTTGATTAGTGTGTTGAATCTTTCAATCCGAACGAAATACAGTCCACTTCCAACCCACCGGAGTTGGCCACGGTAAACGCGCCAACAAGGGGGTTAGAAGGAAAGGGGTGTAAGTGGCTTTGATCAATTCTCTTCATCGACTTTCTCTTTTGATAGCCACAGTTTTTTTTTTCTTCTAGCATCCAGAATGGCACACGAATCAAGGAATGTGTTTGCAGCTGAATTATTAACGAAAGAGAAAGTCGATGAAGAGAATCGATCAAAGTCACTTACACCCCTTTCCTTCTAACCCCCTCATATAATATTAGTTACAATACCATGTAGAAAAACTTTGATTTGGGATAAGTGTTTGAACCTTTGAACTATGGCTTGGGATTTCCACAGTGGCGTTCATCTATTGTGACATACCCATACGTATTTTTGTCGTGCGACATAGTGGAAGCGTGTGAGCATAGTTGGAGCATATACCCTATATAATTTAAAAATCAGCTAGGAAACTTTAGTGAATTTTCCGTTGTTTCGAAGGGTGCATCGATTAGCTTGGGACCGAAGAGAGAACCAGCATAGAAGAAACTCTAAGATCAGAAGGTCCCGAAGAAACGTGCTCAACTTTTTAGCTCAGCTCTGGTACTATCTTCGGTCCCAAGCTAATCGATGCACCCCTCGAAACATAGGAAAATCCACGAACCCCTCATTTTATCTGTCAAACTTTCATAGCGAATCAAAACAAACATAGTGTAGTACTAGAATTTCGCATAGAATGGGGTACGTTAATCGATGTACTTGGGACCAATAGGCTAGTCAAGTAGTGAGCCAATTTAAAATCGTTAGTTTCCACCGGTTGGTACCAGACCTGAGCCAAAAAGTTGAGCATGTTTCTTCGGGACCTTCTGGTTTTAGAGGTATGATGTGATCGTGATGTATTGATTTGGTGAGTAAGTTCAAGTTGAAAATGTTCTTATACATTTATTTTCATTTGCTTCCCTGTGCGGTGGCCTCGATCACGAGTGGTCTGTTGCTCGGCTTGAACGGTTGGGTACGTGTGATACGAACGCGATCGAACATGTAGATTTGGCACTTGGGCGATTAGATTTTGATGTGTTGTCGTGTGCATACGCGTCCTCCCTAACAAGATCCTGAGGGCCGTAGGGACACGGCGAGTCGTCTTTGTTTATTTTCGGTCAATAGCTCACTTGAAAGGTGAAAGTGGATCGGATTAGAATGACTCACATTGTGTTTGTCACTATTTGTGAAATAATAAAAACAAGTCGAGTGTGTGTATGTGTAAATATTTTTCAAATCAAAAGGTTCCTCAATGTTCACATGTTGCTTCACAAGTATTTGAGGATATACTGCGAAAATTTCAGTCTATTGGATGAAGGTATTCTGTTATGTATTGGTAATTTTAAAGATAATTAGACAATTCCATGAACTTCGGCAGAACTCGGCAAGAACTTCCCTGAACTTCGGCAGGACTTCGCTGAACTTCAGCAGGAGTTCCCTGAACTTTGACAGGCCTTCCCTGAACTACGGCTGGATTTCCCTGAGGTTCGGCAGGCCTTCCCTACGGCAGGATTTCCCTGAATTTTTATGAAAGGACTTCCCTGAACTTCAGGAGCCCTTCCCTGAACTTCAGCAGGACTTCCCTGAACTTCGGTAAGTCTTCCCTGAACTTCGGAAGCAGTTTCCTGAACTTCGGAAGGACTTCCCTGAACTTCATCAGGACTTCGTAGAAGTTCGGCAGGCCTTCCCTAAACTACAGCAAGACTTTCCTTAGCATTATCAGGACTTCCCTAAACTTGGAATCTTTGAATTGATGTTGTCATTTCAGTAGTAGGATTATTATTATTATACAATAATATTGTGTTTACCAATATGGTCAAAATGTCAATACTTCTAATTTTCCTAATTTGCAATGCTTGTTGGTATTGGTGCATTTTGAATTTGGATGTGGTTCAAACGGGTGTGGATTCAGTATCAACTGAAAAGCATTAACTTTCACCTTAGTGTCTGTGAGATACTAAGGCGAGAGCTGATTGCAAAAAGGCACATTCAAGTACCATGTGCAAGGGTTTCCAACAATTTAAGATTACTTTTGATTTCGCAAAGTAATCAGGTAATCATGAGTAATCAAGCTGATCATAATAATCAGAAGTAATCATTAGTTATCAATGGTAATCAACTAGTTATCACAGTATTAATCATGAGTAATTCATGGTAATCATCAAGCAATCATGAGTAATCACAGTCATTTTTATAATCATAATAATCTTTGTAATCACTGAGTAATGAGTGTAATTTTGACGGTAGCGAGAATTGATCAATGTTGATAAAATGTCGAATCCTTCGAGTTATAGAATATCGAGTTGTGGAGAGTTGACTGTATGAACAAGGGATGTATACAGTATACTGTAGTCGTCATTAATTCTATGGGCAGATAATTCATCAGAGACCAATTGCAATGCAAGAGCCGGAAGCTTGTTGTTTGTGGGCATAGATGTTTGCAATTTAGCAGAACATTTCAACCGAAAACAACACCATAATAAGTCGCATCATGTGCATATACATTGCTTGACATAGTTCGTAATTCTTACGAAACATTTCAAATGATTGAGTGAGAGGAAGAACATGCTCCTTTGTTGAAATTTGCTGGGCTATAAATAGATAAACTATGTCATTGCTTCCGGAGACTGGTTGCATAATTTGCCCGAAACATTGAGCTTGTGATGCAATCGCGTCATTAGTTGTTTTCACACGTAATCTTCCGGCTATACACGGCCAATTAAACCAACTCAAATTTAAGTTTCATTCACACAAAATCACAAAAACGTAGGCTACTCATAGACTGAGTAAACTTTTCCTCGATTTTCAAGGAAAAAACTTTTCGAATAGGGGGAAAATCGAGAGAGGTTTCACTCAGTCTTTTAGTATACTCCTGAACTAAATAAAATTTTCGTTGATTATTCAGGAAAATGAAAATTTTACTCAGTTGAGTAGCCTACTTTTTTGAGATTTTGAGTGATAACCACTCAAATTTGATCGATCTCATTGAAGTTGATTGACTTTACCAATATTAACTTCAAAACAGAAAATAATCGAACTAATTTGGGTTGCTTAGGCGTGTGATTTTGTATGGGAGCGAGCTGTCAACTAATAGATCTATGTAGTATCAAAAATTAAATATTGAAATTTTGATTTAAAAATCGAGATGAATGTCTATGGAATCGATAAAAATATCGTTGTGCTCAAAAAACGAAGCTCTTTCGGATCATATATTGAAAACTGGTATGCTTTTCGAAATTGTACACGGTTACTCGCAACAACTCAAAATTGAGTCGAACATGCTCATTTCAGTGTTAAGTATGGCTACTCAAAAGTGAGTAGCACTTTTGAATAAATTCATTTAACTGGAGCTGAAGACGACTGAAAACCGGCTCCACCTGCAATTCCTACTTACCTTAATACATACGGCCGGTGTTATACAATAATTTCGCCGTTTCTTAGAGCGTTTGCACTGACACGGCTGGCATTTTTCCCGGATTTGGCTGACTGAGTGGCTTGCACTCAGATTGACATTTCTCGTTTACTCAGATTTTGACAACCTAATGCATCAGACGAAATTGAGTACGATCGACTCACCCGGTGAGGAAGCTGAAGTAAGCGTGTACGAGCATTACAAATAGGCGAAATAGTTTAACACCATTGACGGTAATGTTTCTTTTATGTGAGTGAGCTTTGATTCGCGATAATTTGGCGGTTGAAAGCAATTTCGCATTTCTAAAATGTTGTCGCTGATTTCTCCTAATTTGTGATTTTAATCGCAGATGTGACGGGTTAATTGCCTGTTAAAACCCCTTTTCGGAATACTTACTTACATGCCGTCTTGCATGTGGCACCGAACATAAAATGAATAGAGTCATGCAAGATTTTCCGAAGGAAACGATAAACATTCCACATTATAAAGTTGGAAATTGAAAATGGCGAGACATTCTGATTTTACTCGCTAATGAATTCAACTTATTGGCACCTCGCTCGACACTCGGAAACATTTCAAACAAAGTCAACGTTCGTTTTCAAGTGGTAAATCCATCGTTAATATTAATTGAAAGCATTGGTGGATTCCGCGTGGAAAATTTAATTCGAACGAGCGAAAATCGTAGCTATTTAGTGGTTACCACCGGGGGCCTCAGATAGCCTTGTTGGTAATGGCACGGTAGTTCCAAACCGGAGGCGGCGGGTTCGATTCCGAAACCGAGTTGAAAATTTTCTCGATTTTCCTGAGAATTGCACTTACCACATACATATTCATGCATTGGTTAGCATAGAATGCTCTCAATTAATAACTGTGGAAAAGCATCTAAAACACTAAGTTGAGAATCGGCAAAACTCCCGCTACAGAATCGTAATGAATCTAGAAGAAGAAGGTTACCACAGTTGGCATGGGATGTGTGATAAGGAAGGTGATTCGAGATTGACAAAAAGTAGGCGAACGTTTTTTTTTTATGGAGGAAACATTGCGTTACATTCAGTTTCAGATTTCGTCGTTTTTACAGGCATTTTAGGAAGAGACCAACTTTCTATATCTATATCTATCTATTTCGGAGTAAATGAAAAAAATATATTTAATACATGTTATTTATAAAATTCATTATCTCCTAAATGAAAAATGTTGTATTTTGTCGACTAGTGATTCTTATGAAAAAAACTCCGCTGAAAATTTGGCTTACAACTGGAGCTTTATGACTTTATACTTAATCTGCTTTATTGTGCTCTACATACTTTAAGCACAATCTTATTATATTGCAATAATATTTGACGAACCAATAAAGTTTAATAATCAATCAGCCCAATTCCCTTAATCGATTTTCTCTTTCGCGAATAACCCGACTGCAAATGAATTTCCCATTTACTATGTTGATACAGGCGCAAGCTAACTATAGTCGCTATATTTATAGTCTGGTGGATAGAATTTCGATCTATCAAAAAGCGGAACCAATTCAATATATTGTAGACCAACAATTGAAATGGTACTATCAAGTTTTATAAACAAAACGTTGATTATTCTTTCCTCTCCAATCGAACGCAAATTACCGGCATCATCCGATAGGGGAAATTTTCCCCAGCCCAAAGATGGTGTCAGTTTGCGTAGGCGAGCCTTAAGTCACGGGTTCCGGAAGTTTTGTTCGCAATAGCTGATGTGCTCTTTTCTGTTGTTGTTGGTCGTGATTTGCCCGATTGGTTCCGCTATTTGACAGCTCAATTGGTTCCCGAGATTCTCTCCGCCAGGCTATGAATATAGCGACTATAAAGCTAGCATCATCTTCTGTTGAACTGTCGTGCGAGCTTAGCGAGAAATTCGTTTATGTTGCCGTGGTAAACCAAAGAGAAAGCCGATGAAGAGAATCGATCAACGATGATAGGCCCTTTTCACACGAGAATACAGAATTAAATTCGAAAAAAATGTGGCATCACTGCCTAAGGCACCCCAATAGCTACGCCATCGGGACTGATCGGTAAGAGTTTCCAGATTTGTTTCACGATGTACCAGCATAGAGGTAACTCTAAGACTAGAAGGTCCCGAAATAACGTGCTCAACCTTTTGGCTCATCTCGTACACTCTCTTCGGTCCCAAACTAATCGATTCACCCCTCGAAACATAGGAAAAACCAATAACCCCTCATTTTACCTGTCAAACTTTCATAGCGAATCAAAACAAACATTGCGTAGTAGTAGAATTTCGACTAGAATGGGGTACGTTAATCGTTTGCTTGGACCAATAGGCTAGTCAAGTAGTGAGCCAATTTAAAATCGTTAGTTTCGTATTGATTGTTGGTACGTCTATCTGTTCGGTGATGTTCAGCAATGTTTACAACATTTTTGCTTCTAACACCAGTAAGCTTCCTGTTGGCTCAGACCTTATATAAATGTCATTGTGTCTACAGGCTTGTAGATTTGAAGACAAACTTGCTACTTAAAGTGCTTCCTTAAAAAAAAATGAAAATGCTCTCTGCGGCACATACATTTATATTTTCAAAAGTTTCGAAATAAGTAGAGGAAATGGACGTAATGTTGGCCTAAATGCCCCTAATTTGGGCCCATACATAAACTCAGCAATCGACTAAATTTTCAATAGCGACCAAAAATATCCATTAGTACCGTCCCAATGACGCGTTCATCTAGATAAAATTGGTAAATAGCATGTTTTTCGCGATGGGCCCAATCTTAGATTCATAGGCCAACATTAGAGCCATTTCCCGTATCTCCTCCAAATGTAGTAAAATTCGGAATGAGCCATTGTGTTAAATATTGCCATTTCAGGGAAAAAAATCAACGCATCTGGCAACCGCAGCATGCTTTAACGCTGATAGCAACAATCAATACGAAAGTAACGATTTTAAATTGGCTCACTAGTTGACTAGCCTATTGGTCCCAAGCAAATCGACTAACGTACCCATTCTAGTATAAATTCCAGTACTACACTATGTTTGTTTTGATTCGCTATGAAAGTTTGACAGATAAAATGAGGGGTTAGTGGAGTTTCCTATGTTTCGAGGGGTGAATCGATTAGCTTGGGACCGAAGAGAGTACCAGAGCTGATCCAAAAAGTTGAACACGTTTCTACGGGACCTTCTAGTCTTAGAGTTACCTCTATGCTGATAGTCTTTAACGCCATATGCTTATTTTTCTCTAGTGGACCCTACACGATTGCTTTTATTGACAATAATTGTATTGTCAATACATTCTATATTGACGTCAATACATCGCGATTGGCAATATTTCTGAATTCACATCATCAATATTGTTGGAGGCGAACCAGCCTAAGGCTGAAAGCCTCCTAAATAAAGCTAAATAATAATAATAATCATCAATATTATTGTCAATAATTCCCCTTCGCGTCAATATATTGATGCGTGTGGGGTTTGCTTCTGATCTGGCAACGTCTATTCGCCTTGACACCAGTCCCGAAGTGACGTTTCTTCACACACATTTTGACAGTTCCTTATGGGGTTTTGCGTTGGAGTGAGAGAATAAGAAAAAGTCCGCCATGTTTCACACATAGATTGACAGTTATATATGAGATTTTTCCATATGAGTAAAGAGTTACAGAGCTCTCGTCAACGCCAATTACAGGTAGTGCATTTACAGTTTGATTTTCGATGACCTTTCACCGCAGCATTTATATATACACTATGGCCGATGGATTCGGTTTTTTCCTGATGCTGATGCGGAAAATGTGGTAAAATTAATTAATTTACCTGATAGCATGTGGTTTGAGTGCATTGCTGTTGGAAAGCATGTGACCAGCCATGTTCGGTAATAGCAGGCCATGACCAACTGGAGTGACAATTAGCTTAATTTAATCGTTCTGCTTGGCTCTGACAACTTTTTCGCAACTCAAACTTTCTCGATGGACTTTAATGATTTGGAGCACCTAGCGGACGTGCTTCTCGTGGAATGTGAAGCAGATTTTGAACCGTCTTTCTATCGCCAAGCAGAGGCCATCTACCAACGGGAATCAACCATTTACAACAACATCGATTCGGTAAGTGTTGCTCCATCCAGAAACAAATTGGCACAATCTGTTTCACTTTTCTTATTTTCTTATTTGTTTTCCATTCAAGATCTCGGCCCTCCAGCGCCGTTTGGATGGAGTTCAACGTGATCAATCAGAGCTGGAAGGTTCGGTTTGGCTTATCGCAGAAAAGTTAGTTGAATTGGAACTATCAATCACCGAACAGGAGCAGTGCGCCCAGGAAGTAACATGGCCATGCCGAGCAAGGGCATGGCCATTTGCAACGTCGTCGTCGCAGCAGGCAAGTGCGGAAAGAAACAAGATGTAAGTTTAGCTTTTTAACTCTTGTAGCTTGTTTCACTCATTCAACGCAAAAGGAGCGGGTGGAAAAGTTTTTATCGCCTCTGGTGGGTGTCAATTTCCACAAATGAAAGTTATAATTTTCTTCTAAACTTGCTTTGCTCTTTCCACAATCATCAAACAGCTATCGAACCCTGCTGGAGGTGGCATCACGGATGGACGATCCGGACCGAGAATGGCCTCCGGTCGCCGGCCAATTGAAGGTTATAATTGGTGATCATCGTCGATGCTACGATAAGGTAAGTAAAGGCTGAAGACTGCATACAAATCTTGAAAGAGGAGGTGGAGGTTAAGTAATTATAGCTATTCAAAGATAAATTGCTCCTGGGCATTAACAATAAGTAAATAAATTATAGCTTTTACTTGCAGGCAGGGTATTGAAACCCTGAGAGCAAGACTGTAATGAATATACTTGTAGACTGAGTATTTTTTCCTCGATATTGCTTGCAGATATTTGAGGGAAATTGCGAGGGAAATTGTTTTTTTTTTAACTCTGTCTACCTGCGTTTTTTGCGAATTTGAGTAGACGATATTGCAATTTGAGTCGGATTCAGTTACTACCGTATGCATAAATTGACGTCAGAGCCAATCTCTCAATTTTGCGGTACCAAATTAAAATTTTCATAATTTAAAAAATACATGCGTTGAACAAACAAGTTTCTTACATTGCTAAACAATCATCTTTTTTGTGTTGTAGTAGATAGTATCCAATGAATAGTGCTGTCAGGGTGACCAGTAATCCGAGAAAATGCCGGGAAATAATAATGTTACCATGCTTCTGCGTTAATTTTTCTTCAGATGTCACTGCGGTTCTTAATAGTGACATCTATCAGAATTTAAGAATACATTACATACATAGTTCCGTTGATTGTTAACAGAAGGCAGTGTGGGCAAAACACCGCAGCGCAGAATATAAAAAAAAAGAGAGACTTTGGATGTTAATCTAAATGCTAGAAGTGCCAGACATGTTTTGCTGTGTCAGGTACTCTATTTTGTAGTCTGTGAGAGGGAAATCACAAATAGACTGTCTTCAAAATACATGGCATGTTGAGAGATTGAGATCGTTAGAAAAAAAACTTGCCGAGATTTAGCTAACAAGCGGGAATTTTGCCTAGTTCTCAGCTAACAATCATAAATTTTGCTGAATCTCGGCAAGTTTTTCACTGAGATCCAACAACAAAAAATGCCGAGCTGCTCGGTGGTGCCAATTTCAGCAAAACAATCTGAGTGTGTTGTAAAGCGGGTAAAACTGTATGAGGAAACATAATTTTTATTTAATTTTAGCTTATTTAACAATAATTTCCGAGAAATAAGTGAACGAAAAAGTTCCTGAATGATTTCTTTAGGCTGTCGTTCAGTTTTTTTTTTACCTAAATATGACTCGAAAGCGAATTATTCCCACTTCTCTCAATTATATGGAGATTTGTATAACATTATACCAGCGGAACAGCGCCATCTCTGTTGAAAATGGCCTGACGATATGATTTATTCTATAACTCGATGGTCCTTTCAATATTGAGTTATGAAGAGCTGACTCTATTCGAGTTTTTATCGCTGTTTTGGAAGATTACTCAAAAATACAAAAAAAAAAACGTGTGCAGTTAAGATTCCTATAGCTCGGTTAAAAAGGACCGCACAATAGGCACCGGCATTAACGAATACATATATGGGTTAAGAGTTAATAGGGGACAAACACTTATTGTAGGGTAATTTGAAGAGATAACTTCCTGGTGCCTTCTGAAAAGTTATTAACAAAATAGATGACCTTCTTTTTGGGAAAATTTGGCATACGGAAAGTCAGAAGTCTGGTCCTCCGGAAGACCCGGAACATCCGTAAAAGTGGTCAATTCATGAAACTGATCCTAGAGCTCCGTGTTTTTTTTTTTCGAAATCACTCATAGACGTCTTATCAGAATGAATTCGGAGTTGTAACCAAAATATGGACGCTGGGGACAAGGAGATGGTCCACCGAAAGATCCGGAACATCCGTAAAAGTAGTCAATTCATGAAACTGATCCTAGAGCTCCGTGTTTTTTTATTAACTCATAAACGTTTTATCAGAAAGAATTCGGAGTTGTGACCGGAATATGGACGCTGAGGACAACGGGATGGTTCACCGAAAGATCCGGAACAGCCGTAAAAGTGATCATTTCATGAAACTGACCCTAGAGCTTCTCGATTTTTTAAACCACCCATAGACGTCTTCTCTGAATGAATTCGAAGTTGTGTTCGGAATATGAATGCTGGGAAGATGGTCCACCTGAAGATCCGGAACATCCGTAAAAGTGGTCAATGCATGAAACGGATTCTAAAGCTCGGCGTATTTTTCGAAGCCTCTCATAAACTTGTTATCAGAATGAATTCGAAATTGTGACCGGAATATAGACCCTGTAGACCACGTGATGGTTCACCGCAAAATCCGGACCATGCGTCAAAGTGGTAAATTCATTTTTTTTCCCTTGATTTGTTTCCCGTCGATCTTGTTTTCCGTACTGAGTACCAATGCTACCGACGCCAGGGAGGCAGCTTCCCCAGCTGGACCCTACTTATCGACTCATAATCGGACTCATGGACTGAGCACCACCGGCTTTACTTACCAAATTAATGTATGAGTGGTTTAAAATAAAAAATTAGAGCTAGGTAGAGCTAACAATTTCCACAATGTAAACGCTTTACGCATTTCATTTATACAGCCTCAAGCTGTATTCGAACGTTATACGATATGAAGCAACCTTTATACAGCTTGATCCTGAAGGCGGATTAAATATTGTTTACTATTTTTGATGTGGAAATTCATTGATTTTATTCAGCTGCGAATCAAATTACTTGAAATTAGTTATGAACACACTACCAAATTGTTACCCTGCATCGGAACCTGGACTTGACACTACCAACTTCGCTACGTGAACACTTTGAACTGACGTAAACAAACCTATATGACCTTCTACAACAAGATCACTGAGTAGAGGCCTTATAATAGTGCACATGAATCATTTTTCTCGAATAGTTAGTTCAGCTTTGTAGATGAGCGGAGTAAAAGTTGTAAACTGGACAAGTCTAAAAATGAACCTAGATGATTTTAAAATGCTGCCAAAGTAGCGCTTATACAGTTTATTAGTTACAGTGATTATGGGTTATTTAGATGTTGAAAAAGCACCTTTGATGTTTATCTTATTCAGCAAGAGTGGTTAGTTGTATAGAAGCCATAAAATGAGTAATATATTCACTTTATTAGCTTTGTTTCGCAGCTACTAGTTGAAAGTTGATTAATGTTTACATAGACGTGGCATTATATTGGCTGCTGTTATTCATTGCGACTGATAAATTGAATAATGGTTGTGAAAAAGTTGAGTAAACGCTCTCCAAAACTATTTTGCTAGCTTCTGCTTGTAGCTGTATCTGCAGCTTTTTTCAGCTATTTTACAGAACAATGATTGAAAAGTTGGCTTATATTTAAAGGTGAAAATGTTAGTTGGGTAGGATCAGTTTCATGAATTGACCCCTTTACTGTTGTTTCGGATCTTCCTGTAGACCACCCTGTAGTCTCCAGAGTCCATATTTCGAACACAACTCCAAATTCATTCCGATTAGTAGTTTCTAAAAAAAACACGGAGCTCTACGATCAGTTTCATGAATTGACCACTTTTACGGATGTTTCGGATCATTTAATGAACCATCCCGCGGTCCCCAGTTTAAACTTTCTGGCCACAATTCCGATTATATTGTGCTAAGACGTTTATGAGTGGTTTCTAAAATTCCGTTGAGCTTTAGGATCAGTTTCATGAATTGACCACTTTGCGGATGTTCCGGATCTTTTAGTGAATGATTCCGTGGTCCCGAGTATTAATTTTCAGATCAAAACTCTGAATTTATTGTGATAAGACGTCTATGAGTGATTTTTTAAAAAACCGTGAAGCTCAAGGATCAGTTTCGTGAATTGAACAGTTTTACGGAAGTTCCGGATCTTTTATTGGACCATCCCGTGGCCCCCAGCTTAAAATTTCAGGTAAAACCTCCGATTTTATAGTGATAAGACGTCTATAAGTGGTTTCGTAAAAACCGCGGAGCTCTAGGATCAATTTCAGGAGTTGACCACTTTTACGGATGTTCCGGATCTTTCATTGGACCATCCCGTGGTCCCCAGTTTATAATTTCTGGTAAAAACTCCGATTTTATTGTGATAAGACGTCTATAAGTGGTTTCGTAAAAACCGCGGAGCTCTAGGATCAGCTTCATGTGTGGACCACTTTTACGACTGTTCCGGATCTTCCACAGGACCTGACTCGTACCCTACCGGAAACTGACTGTTCCCAAAAGGAGCCCATCTATCTGCTGAACGACTTCTTTAAAGACATCAGTAAGTTATTTCTTCAAATTCAACATTGCAACTTTGTCGACTAATTTTTTTTTTTCTATTTCTTAACGTTCTCATTTAAGAGTAATTTTTCGGAGTTGACTTAGGGTGTTGTTGGAAAAATTAGTTTTTTAGCACTAACTTTTTTATTTTAAATTTCTCATGAAAGTCATCTTGTAGAGACTTTTAAAACTCTTTAAGACAAATGTTTTATAGCGAAATTTGTTGCCCTTATCTTTTCTAATAAAAAAGATATAGCCAAATATAGTAAAAAATATGAATAAATTCAAATTGATTTTATACGAGTTTAAAAAATAACATACCTTCAATTTTTTCATATTATTGAGAAGCCCTTTCAAATGCAGTAAAAAAACATTTTTTTTTGTTTACCTCAACCAGAGATATTAACATTTGAAAAGTGCATATTTTTAGTATAAAAACGTCAATAACTCTTGATCGGCGAAAGATATTGACAGGCTTTGTGTAGTAAAAATTTGCGCCTTCTTAAGATCTAAAAGTTATTTCAAGACACCTTTGCTCAGAAATTCGAAATAAGAAAACTAGAGCAAAACAACTATTTTTTTAGAGCCACCCTAACTCAATTCAAGAAAATAGCTCCAAATCGTCCAATTTAAGAGATACAAAAAAAAAGTTCCTTGAAATTAGCTCAGCTATAACTTTGCCGAAGAATACTTACCTTAATTTATTCAGACAAAAAGTTAGATTTTTGATTTTAATGATAATAGGAACCACCCTAGAATTCATTGTCATAAAAATGAGGGCCTAACTATAAGGAACAACTTTGTACAAGAGACTTTTAGTCTAAAGTTTCAATTTCAGGCTCAAAACATATCATTCCACCTAAATCTGCATTCTGGACCATGA